CTGCAGCTTGCAGCAGAGTGGTGTCTCGTGCCTCTTGTTTACTTTTTAATTAGAGTAGAACAAGTTAGGACAGTGTGACTGAGAAGTGAACCCCAGCTCATGTCAGTTTACAAAACAAGGCAAAGCCTTGCTTACACACCAATTAAGAATATTGTTGATGATAACCTGACCTCAGGCTTAAATAAATTAATAGGAGAAAAAAAAAAATGTGCTTTGTTGCACAGGCAGGCTGTTGAAAGCAGTGTTTGAAATGCACATTTTTTTTATTTATTGGGAGATAATGTCCCAGTGGCCAAGGTCTGCTGTGGCCTCAGCCCCTGGAGCCTCGTCCTGCAGGGACCACACCTCAAACAGGCTGGAATGTGAATTACCTGGAACTCATGGGGAGAGGTTGCCTCTGTGTGGGAAGGAAAAGATTGTGCAGCTCACCAAAAAAAAAAAACCCACCCCCAAAAATCCCATGTGATACCTCACTAATTGCACCTGAAAATAAAGTTCTGCTGCAGTTCCAAGGCTGCATTTAAGCCACAGCACTGAGCAACTTTTAATTTCTGTGATGAGCAGATAGGTTATGCAGAACAAATCATCAATGCTCTTATCATTGTTAATAACTTCCTTTTAAAAATTCCTTATTATTGAACAATTGCTCTAACATTTTAGGGAAAAAAGGAGTTTGGGGAACACATTCTGAAGAAAGGGGAGTTCTTACACATTCTTGATGACTTTTACTTTCTTTTTTTTAATACTGATGATGGTTTTGATTGGGACAGAGTTAATTTTCCTCACAGCAGCTGGTGTGGGCTGTGTTTTGGAACTGCTGATAATTCAGAAGGTTTTTCCTTATCTCTGAGCAGCCCTTACACAGAGCCAAGGGTTCTTCTGCTCCTCAGCCCGTCCCACCCTGGCTCCTGAACCAGCCTTACAGTAAGGCTGATCAAAAATGATTTCTGAAATGCTTCTTAGCATTGTAAATTCTACAAAATAGCAACTGTTTTACAGCAGTTACACTGAGATAAACAAAATCAAGGCTACTTTTAAAATTAATAACAGCACCTACTTTTTGAAACACAAATAATTTCTCTAAGGAAAAGTTGAATTTGCATAGAAAGCTCCCTGAAGTTACTACTTGTTACTGTTCAGTAAACAGTCCCCGAGAAACCTACTGTTAAGAGAAAAAAAAATCCAATTTTTCTTCCTTCCCTGCAATTATCCCAATCACAGATTTGTCAGTCTAATATTTTTCCCCCCAATAAACTCAATCAGAAGGTACCACATGGGCCATCTCCATTACCAAAACCAAATTCTTCCAGAGCAAAACATTTAAAGGCGAGATTAAATTTCAAGCTGTAATTTCTTTTTAACCTCCCGTCCATGCTCACATCCATTTGCATTTCTCCTGAGCTGTTTCTCACCCATTCAGCAGCAGTTCAGTAACTCTGACACTCACCCCATTCTCTAGACCACTTCAAACTCTGCACAAACAGCTGTTGCAAAGTTTTTTAGCAATTCCTGCAGAATTGCTTTGAAGAAGAAAACTCAAACCTGTAGCTGCTCACCTTTAAGCATAAAGCAAAGCTCAATCTGGTTTTGTTCTGTGAATATCAGGTTTCAGGAGGTGTGCAGCATATTCAAACAGACCATCAACGTCAATATGAAAAATAATGACTTCCCAAAGGAATTTCAATGTTTGCCTCATTGAGATCCAGCACCACAAACTAATAATCTTTAAAATGTAAATAAGAGGCAAGATTTACCACTCCAGGTACCCCATACAATCACCAGCCAATACAGAAATCCAAAAAGACATTTACAAAATAACACGTAACTCGTAATAAGCTTAGTATGGATTTCTGTTTATGCTAAAGGACGTGGAAGGAAGACAAACCAACCACAAAAGCACAGAATCATTAGAAAACTGCAGCAAAAGCAACCCCTGGAATTATATCCTGCACCAGCAAAATCAAACAGCAGCTCAAGGAAAAAACACACCAGTCTGAATAAAAAACCCATGAAACCTTCTATGGGGGTACTTGGGAAGGGAAAGCAGGAATATCCATCAACCTCCAGCACAGAACTGCACTGGCATTATCTTCATCTGCGTTAGGGGAGAATGTTAATATGTCTTCAAAACAATTAATTCAACCCTAATTGGCACTGAGAAAGCTCATTCTATCTTTTATCCGAATCCTGGTAGTTAAAAGGTGATTTTAATTGCCATGGTAATCAGATATAATGAAGAGCAAAACTGTTTCTGATTAAATAACATTTGCATCAGAATTGCAGTTAGACACTTGGCAGCTCCCAGGAAGCTGAATTCTCCAATTCTTCTTCTCTCTCTACTTCAGGCATGCACACAGAAGCAGTGCTGCAAGAATTTTGCAGATGTTGAATCAGATGGAAGTCATGAAAGGCTTCTCCTCCCAATTCATTTCCCATAAGGAGAAAGAATTGTTCATGCTTTGAGGTGTGAAACCTCAGATCCGCAGGTGTGTGCAGAAGGCACAAACCTTTCTGTGCCTCCAAACCTCACCAGGAAACCTGGATTTTCACCTGATGCTAACCATCCTGATAACTTTTTGGAATATTTCTTTCTATAGAATTTAAAAAATATCTTTGCATTCATCTTTAAATATTTTGGAACGTTCAGCAGGTGTTTTATCGGTTTACATGTAGTGTTTGTGTGGCAGCTCAGTTATACAAAGCACAAAACCACCAAACTGAGTAAAAGTGGTCTTCAAAATACTGCCAAAGTCTGAGCTACCTCATCACTAGGAAATATTCAGAACAATTCTTGATTCTGGCCACACTGTGCTTTTCTACAGTTACACCAACAAACAGATACTAATTTTAAGTTAATTAATTATAACTAACCTAATCCGGATTCTCCAATGACCACAAAAAGTGGTCACTGAATAGGTCAGGAAATAGGAAAAAATGCTTTTTATAGAACTGCACAAGAAGCTGGGAAATGCAGGAAGGCAATTGCTCTGACCTCAAAGGCTGCAGCTCTGAGTCAAATTTGACTCTGGGAGATGCAGAGAAAGAGCTGAGAGAGGGTGAGGTTAAAATGAGCCTTTGGGTGAAAATCACCTTGTCCAAGTGACAGCTTGAGAGGACATCTGCCTCCTTCCTCTAAGCCTGCTGTGTCACATTCACTTAGACAAATTTACAAACTATTTATATAAGCAGCAATGAGCACACAGAAGTAGCTGCATCAAGAAAAAATCAGTTATTTGGCAAAAACAGTCAATTGAATATCAATGTCATGGAATCCACTGGGGATGGAGGTTTAGCCCTCCTCCCACCACAGCAGCAGAGCTGCAATACGTGAAATGGATGTTTTAAAATATTAACAAATTGGAAAAAAAAATTTAGAAGTATTAAACTAACTTTGTGTCACAGGTTTCTAAACATTAGTTATTTAAATGGCAGTTTTGGTGCATTGGGGCATGTAAAGACATTCATATATTTGCATTTTCACTGAGAGAGGACTACAATGCAAAATGGAACTTCACTTGTATCATTTAGCAGGAGAAGGCTTTCATGATGGAAAGCAGAATGCTGTCGGTGTGATTTGTGCCACTGCTGAGAGTGCTGTCCCCTCACCTGCTTGGAAGGGTGCAGAATGAAGGTGTGCTCTCAGGGCTGAGCTGAGGCAGGGGCAGGAGCTGTCACTGCAGGCAGAGCTCAGCTCAGCACAGCCCAGGTCACTGAGAGCAGCCCCAGGGAGCTGGGCACGCTTGTACCTGCTCACCAAGGCTGCCTGCAGCGTCCCAGGGGCAGCTCAGACACCTCTCCTGAGCACCCTGGCACAGGGAGGGTGGTGAAGGGGGATTTAACTCATCCCACTCTCAGAAAAGTGCCTGTCCACAATACCATGGACATTCTTGTGGCACGTGGCAGATTTTCAAAAAATATTAATCATACGTTGAAAGAATGGAATAGAAAAGTCTCATTGGAAACCTTCACTGGTTTGACTTCACAAAGAAAAGAAAATGTATTTATGCCATCCCCCTGTGTTTAAATTTTACATTTTGTTTATAGCTGTACTGAAATTAGACTAATCTTTACACGATCTGATAATAAAGTTTGTCATCTATAGGCAAGAATTTCTGCTACAGAACATTCCATGCAGTGCCAGTGCCAGCTCCAGCAAGGCCAAAAGAACAGGATTTGTGGTACCACTGCAGCATTGTTCCCTGAGCAGGGCCTGTTAAATGGATAACAAGGACAGGTGCTTTTATTGCTGGGTCAGATTAGCAGATTAACACAAACTCATAGAAACTGAACAAAAAACTGCAAGTGATCTCTTGCCTAAATCCAATTTTTCCTCTACTTGCCTTCTGGAGTCAGGTAAAGAATAAAGCCTCTATTTTACAACCTTCTGGAAATCTGCACAGCATCAATATCAAGCCCACCCCACTCCTTCTGCTTTCTTACCTTCCTCTCTGTCACAGAGGTCTCATGTGAAATACAATATTCTCCCAGCTGCCAAGCTCAACACATTGCTTTTATTGTGCTGAAATGTCACTCTGTACCCAGGCTCCAAGCTCAACTAGATTTTCCAGCTCCTAATAGGACTACTGGGAGAACATCCATCCTAACACAGACCCCCAAGCCCAAAAAAAAAAGATGTTAATTGCCACAGTACCTTGATTATAGAGATGTTTACAGAATGAAATTAACAACAAAGCAAGGAAGACACTTCTTCTTGGAAGTCAATCCATAAGGAAAAAAAAAAATCAATTAAGTGCTACAAATGCAAAAAAGCCAATAATTCACAACAACATGCCTTGAAAGGAACATTACACACATTAAGTGGCAGAAATGGAATGACACGACCAGGTAGGCTGAAACAAAACAGAATTTTCCACTTTGAAAAGTGAACTTTTCCCAGCCTTCAGAACACTCAGCAAGTATTTCTCATATTGATCAGAAATAGCCTTCAGTTTATTTTGCCTTTTTAAATGATAATCTCTCAGCTAAAGGAGCTGCCTTACCTTTGTTCATGTCAATCAACTGCTGCTTCTTCTTCTGTCTCTCCAGCCTCTCACGCTCTGCCTTCTCCTTGGCCAGCTTGGCCCTCTTGGTTTTCTCCTCCAGTTCTCTTCTTTTGTTGTTTTCTTTTAATGCCTCCTGCATTGGAGGAAAGCAATGTGAGTGTCTGTGCAGTGAGGAGAACCAAAATACCCTGGTGTTCACATGAAATGAGAGCAGAAGAAACCAGGGACTTGACCCAATACTTGGAGCACGCTGAGAAACCTTGGAGGGAACATAATGCACCTCATTATTTGTACATGTGAGAATTATTGATCAGAGCAATGGAAACTGAAATAGCTTTGTATTTATTATGAAGGAAAGAAAGAATTTATTTTCAGCAGCAACAGGTTTATATTTTTCCCTATTAAGATTGCAAGTCTACCTTAAGCCTGTGCCATGTGTGGGGAGGAAGCCAAGTGTCCACTATGATGGGAATTCAATTACAAGTGGCTGAAACTCAGGTGCTAGAATTTAAATATAATTCATCACAATTTTTTGTTGAAATAGCCAGTCTGGATGTCTAACATTTAGAAAACACAGGAGAAGAAATGGAAAATAGCTGAATTTTTAGATTATGACTAAAAAGTCTCTGAAGTAACAGGTTATACCTGAGGTCTCTGAGGTAATAGTTTATATATTTGCTATATAGAGTAAATTAAAACTCCAAGACTCCCAAATGCTTCCAAATGCAGAACATTCATTCAAGCAAGGGGCAGCATCTTTCAGTGTGTCATTTCAGGGGTTTCCTGAGGTCAAACACCAGATTCCAGCCCTGTTTTGCAGAGACTCTGGACACCAGGTGCTGGTACCCACGGCCTCACTCCAAACTGCACCAAGAACTGCACCACACAGAGCAGCTGCAGCACCAGCACCACAAACACCTTTTATTCCAGAAAAAAAAAAGGCAACTAAAGGGCAAACCCAATGTCTTGTCCCTTTTGGTTTTGGACAGTTCTGTCACTGCCTGTTCAAGCATTTGACAGAGATTTCATTTTGCTGCAGCTTCCCAGGCTGGAGTGGGAGGAAATGCCCCCAGCCTTAGGAGAGAAAGCAAATATGAAATGCCATGGTTGCACTGGTAGCTCAGCAGCCACTGACATTCTGTGATCTGATCACAGATTCCATCACATTTTCTACCAGGAAATCTACAGCAGACTGAGCTAAACAAGCTCTGAAGTTATTTTATCTGGAAATTCTCCTTGAGCCCAACTCGATGAGTTCTATCTGAAGAAAGATTCAGGCTGCACTTCATAAAACAGAATGGATACCAATGAGGATTTAAAAAAAAACAAAACCAAAAAGACATTAAAAATAAAGGTTTAATCTTCTTGAAGATCAGCAAGATAAGAAAATCCTGATAACTCTGTGTGAGAGTAGCCCTTTTAATCTATCTACACCCATCCACCTCCTGGAATGGACTTGCTTGTTACTCCCCTCCAGCAGGCAGTTGGACTCTCACCCATTCCATATTTGTTGTGTCATTTACTGCTATACATTTAGTCAGACTTAGATGAAAGCTGGAAATAAATCATTGGCAAGAACATACTCCCACCTGCTATCAAAGTCAGTGCAGAAAGCAAAATAAATCTATTTTCATCTGTATTTATAAGCACACTTTATATTTAAATGAATATTGCTAACAAATTTGATCGTAGTTTCTCAAAAGTGATGGATGATTGATGTAAATAAAGAGAACTTTGACTCAGGTGTACAGTGGTTTCTACAGCATCTGCTCTGCCTGAATTGTATCAATCCTTTCAGTTTCAATTCCTACAGTTCTGCTGCAAAGGGTTATTTGTCTCTCTCATGGCATGCTTTTAAATTCCCCCAGACCTTTTCCAAACACCTGAGTTGCAGTGGATTTCTCCTAATACAGAACAGTGCTATTCCAGATTAGCAGGGTTTTTTTCAACTATCAAATGCCAGTGATCCCCTTTCTGGGTAGTTTTGCAGGCTAAATTACTTCAAAAGGTAAAGATCAGTTTGAAAAGGAAAAAAAAAAATAGTTCTGCAATTGGCATTGCTTTTAACAGAGGGAATAAAAATTAACAGTTTTGTTAATGCAATACAGTTCCCCAGTGACAAAGAACTTACTACTGTTCATAGGGATCTACTGGATAACTAAATTTATTCTCCAATTAAAACTAAACTAATCTAACAGCTAGAAATCAGACAAAGAAGCAATCCTCTGGTAAGAATAAAAGCCTTCTCAACAGCCTTAGAACATATTTTGAAAAGTGCTCTTCTAGATGCTATCTTCTGAAAACATGTAAGTGTATGCAAAAAGGGAAATAATTTTCGAGTGAATCTCAGCAGACAGAAATATTTAAATGCATAAAACCCTTTTATTGATGTGCTTCTCATGACCCTCTCTTATTTTGGTTGGTGCATAAGGGCAAGCAGTTTTGCTAATTCAACAGAAAATTGAAAGTTAGAGAAAGTTTGAGTGTGGGTTTGCTTTGTTATAATAAAACCAAAACCGAATTATTGTCTCTCCTAGCAGAGAAAAGAGATTCAGCAAGGAATATTATCTCTTTTTAAGTGAGTTAGTGGAAGGAGCACACAGTTTGATGTTCCCCCTTGTGTTTATTAGGATTCACTGAAGTGCAGCTCTGGTACTCAGCACTGCCAGTTTACAGCTTGGCTTCCTTAAGAAGCAAATAAAAAATTAATGCATCTCTTGCATTCTGCACATCTCTTAAGTCTTGACAGACAAACATATTCACACATCGACACGGTTGTAAATAGACTCTCGAAGGTAAATTATTAAAAACAAGAAGAAAGAAAACAAACTGTAATGCACAAATCTCCCTGGATATTAAAGATGCAGCCGGCTACAAAGCGGTCATGCACCAATAATGAGGGCTGCCTGTGATCCCTCAGGCCTTCCCCAAATTTGCCTTGCAACTGCAAAAATATGTCAACTGAACTTCCAGCAAAATAATCTTCTCCAGCCATAAATCATTAGGAAGGACCAACTCAGATTATCTGGAAATTAATCTACAGAAATTCAGAGTCGAAATACAGCAGATTGAGCAATCAGTGTACATGTAAAAGGAAGATCTTTCATGGGTGTTCCTTGGAGGATAACACATTTAAATACATTGTTATCCCCATGAAAATAATGGAAAAGAGATGTAACGAGCTGGCATTAAAGAAGGGCAGACAAATTGAATTCCTGCTGGGTGGCAGTGAAGGGCGAGCTTGGGACAGTGGCTGGGGCAGCAGGGACACAAATGTCCTGGGCTTGCCAGGACACACTGAGGGCTTGGCAAGGGAGGTTCACAAAACCACCAAAAACTGCCCAGGCAGAGGAGCTTTGCTGTTACTGTCATCATTTCTGTAAAATTTCCTTTGCTCAGGATTTCTTTCCTGGGAAGCTGAGAAGCCTCTGAGAAAAAGGAAAACAATATTATCTCATTTGCTTCTCCTGTGTTTTACTGCTTTGGAATGTGGTTTGGAGATTGCTTATTAACAGGTGATTGTTTCATTGGTTGCATGTGAATTGTTTTTACTTATTGGCCAATTACAGCCAGCTGGTGGAGGCTCTGGAGGAAAGACTCAGGAGTTTTTCAGTAGTACCTTTCTAGCTTTCTGTAGCATAGCATTCTTTAATATAATATAATGCCATAAAATAATAAATTAGCCTTCTAAGAACATGGAGTCAGATTCCTTCCTTTCCTCCCTTTGACAAGGGTCTCAAAAAATACCAGAGTTTGCAGTGTTTACTATCCAAATTTAACAGTACCAATGAAAAGCTGCTTGGTATCACTTAATTACTGCACTGTGTGAGTTGGAATCATTACTAAATGGCCCTTGAGTGGACAAGTTTGGGACTGTTTTTCCAGCTCCTGTCCATCAATATTTGGCTAGCAGAACAAACACTCACACCTCGTTCAGGTTATTCCTGATAGAGACCCAGAGCTGAAACACACACACAAAAACAAACAAAGCTGTATCATTGTCTTTACAGAAAACACACAACTTGAAAACCCCAGGAGAACAAATGTTGTCTCTTCTGGTACAATCCTCAAAGAGAAACCATGGCCCAGGGCAGACCAATTATTGTTTTGCTCCAAAAGCAATCTTTCTGGATCAAGGAAGAGACAAATCAGTGTTTTGGCACATCATCATGTGAGCACAAGCCTTCAGACTTTTTTAACAAAAAATCTTTCTAAGGTAAGTCTGTAAGAGCTGTTCATGCAAGAGCCTGAATCCAATAGAAAAAGTAAATTACTCTTTTTAATAGCAAGACCTTGAATGTGACATGCTGAAAGGTTTCAAAGTTTCTGGGTAGAAATTTTTGACACATTTTAAAAGAGACTGTGAGAATTACACCCACTGTAGTATATAAGGACAAAATGTAATTAAATAACAAATTAAAAATCCTGGCTTGGGAAGATTTTGCAGACTTTCTGAAAGACATGGCTGGTGGACTGTGGAAGGAAGCACTGCAGAGGGTGTGTGGCAATACACTGCAAGGAAATAACAAATGTGGAAAAGACAACACTGCAGGGACACCCTCCCACAGCTGCAATTTTTTCCTGGAGGTTTCTTACACCTTCCACTTCACGCTCCACTCTGTGTTCTGACAGGATTAGCCACTTCCATTAGCCTGCCTGGATTTTCCTACACGTGCTAAGCAAGCAAATCTGAACTGGAGGAAGTGATGAGCTGTAATTGACTCCAGCAGCAGCACGCTAAATGAAGCTGCAATAATGCAGTGATCAATCTGGAACCACAATTAAGACAAATACGGATTCCAATTATCAAATTATCTTAATAGGATATAGGAACAAACAGAATGATGAGGCTAAGATGATATATGTGAAACTAAACTCTGGAGATTTTAGAGAGGGCAGGTTCATTCCAATACAAGGGCTTTCAGGAAGGTTTGAGTGCAGATGTTGGCAGCTGTAGGCTGCACACATCATCTGTGCAAGGGTCTCTGCTGGCCTCAGCATCAGCCCCAGGGGCTCACTCAGAGCAGGTAATGAAGGCAAGGCTTCACAAGGGCTTTTCAACTGCTTAAGCTCTGCCTCAGCCAAAATCCCAAACTATGCTTTGCTTTCAGAGTGGAATGAGGATTCAAAATCCTCATTTAAATATTACAAACTTCCAAAGATAATGCCTGGAAATAATGACATTTCTCAGTTGGACTCACTGCTACCAGCACTGAATATAAAACAGAAAAAATAAAAAAAAAAAACTAAAGAAAACTTTTAAATCCTCTTCAAGATTAGGAAATTTAACTTCATGGTTTCCTCTGGACCATGTCCTCCAGTATAACTTTTGAAAATATTCCTTAATCAATGGCATCTCTACCCTGAAATATGGCAACCAGTGCTTGTCCCCCATCCACAAAGGCAGCCACCTCAAGAGAGAAACAACTTAGGTCAGGACAAAATCCCAACCCCACCTAGGCAGTTATTTCTACACTTGCCAATACAGCGTCCTTGAACTCAGTTTAATTTCTCTTATTATTATTTATTTTTGCACCTTTTGGTGAGCTTCCAAGGGAAATGCCATCCTTGTGTTTTAGATCATAAATAAAGCACTTATCCAGCAGCACTAACCCCTGGTAAATAAATTGAGTTACTGCTCCTATGTGAATTCCACCCCCTGCATCCTTCCCTAGCCCATCCCTAATTCCTGATTTGTTCAGGATAATGATTAAAACCTATTCAGCTCAGCACTAGCTGAATGTACACTCAGATGAGAACTGAGAGAGCTTCCAAAAGGTTTGAATTTTGGGTTTGGGGCAGGGGGGAGGAAGGGCTTGCTGTATATTGCCTGTTAAAAAGGACAGTGTTTCACTTTTGCGACCACCTCTTGGGAAATTTCGCTGAAGAAAATACTTCTTGCTCATTATTCTTTATTTTTTCCCAGCTTCCTGCTAGCTGCAAACTGTTATCTTTCAGGCTGCATTAAAGAAATGTTACTTTTTAGGCAGAAGGGACAAAGTGTATTCCCAGACAAATAACCAGAGAGAACAATGAATAAATAGAGCCTTTCTTTTAAGCCACTCCTGAATTACCAACACAATTTATGAGTTTGAAAGCTGGGAATTTAGCCTGACTATGCACTGTATTTCATGGTAAATCAGATGTTTATTATGTATTTATTTATGTATTGTGGATTCATTGAGTTGTATTACTGCAGCAAATGACCTGCTGCATTCCAGGGACACTTCAAAAAAGCCACCACAAAAACCACAGAGCTTGAAACTTCCTTTGTAGCAAGTAATAAACAAACAAATATCAGGGAGAAGGAAGGGTCTTACAGGTCCATTTGTACTCAGGATGCTGAATCCACTGCGGGAAAAACTGTTTGGCATGAAGGCAACAAAACAGAAATTCCTGTTCTGTCAGGTCCAGGGCATCAATCTTACAAAATCCTGGAGCCCAGAGTAGTGGGCACCAATAAAAAGGGTTCAGTTTGCTGATCATTTAATGTGCCTCCTCATTCTGGGGAGATTTTCACTTTGTGGATGTTGCACTGCAGGGCACACAGCAGCCATCAATCAATAGCAGTGTTGATACAAAAGGACAATTTATTTCACTGGTGTTTTACCAAAGCCATCTCTCATTCTGCCACCTGATGAGTTACACACATCTGCTTAAATACTGCCTGAAACTGGAACAAACCCTTGTTCTCCAAGTACATTTATAATGTACTTTAAGATTTAATTCCTTATTCAGACCTGCATTTACACAAACGTGAGGGAAGCAGTCACCACTGATAAAAGTGTCTACCAGATTAAAAAAAAAAAAATCACTCCACTGAGCAAAACAGCCTCTGCATTTCCTGCAACTAGACCCAAAAATCCCTTGTCCTGCTTCAAAAACAACTTTGTTTTTTTAAACTCAAAATTTACCTTTAAGACCAGCTGCATTAAAGGAAGCCCACAGAGCAAACAAAATCTAAAACATTTAAGGTTTTTAAATGAAAAGGAAATTTTAAGAAAAAAGGAAAACTTTTTAATAAAAAAGGAAATGCTCCAACCTAGTGCTGAGGTGCATATTTGACACAACTTCCACAGCACAATCAGCCTGAAAGGAAGTTTATGTTCATTTACAAATGCAGGCGTGGCAGATTTGGTGGACGTTTTTAAATCCTCTGCCACCAACACAAACAAACGTTCAGAAAGTGACAGGCTGAAAACATTACAGGTCACTTGATACAGAGTGTGAGACAGCAAGTTAAAGACAAAAAATGGAAAAGAACAAACTGGCATCTTGCTCCAGGCAACTGATTAATCATTATTTGATAAGAGCCTGATCCTTTTGGGACTGATGCTGTATCAGGTTGCAGTTGTCCTCAAGGACAGTGGAAATTTGTGTTCACTTTCGATGGAATAAAGGACTAAAAATCTAATAAATGTTTCTTCTTCAGAAGAGTTCTAAATGTTTGAAATATTAAAGAAATATTATTATCTAGTGGATCTAAAAAAAAAAAAAATCCACAACAAACAGTGGGGAAAAAAAAGGAAAATCCACAATAAACAGAAAATAAAAAAGAAAACCCACACCAAAACACCCTTTTTGCTGCTTTCAATTCAATTTGCAGTTGGCAGCTCCAAGAGAATACACCTTCCTCTTTATTCTCCAGCCCTGCATTTGACTCGTGTTCCACTGGCAAAGGGAAATCCTGTGGAGATGCTTTGGGTCACTCCTGTGATTCTCCAGCCACTGGAGGGCTTTAGAAGCTCTAAACTGAACTGGCTCATGGCACAAGAAAGATTTATTGAACAGACAGCCACGAGCAAGAACACAGAGTAATGGCAAACAGGAAACAATCACCCATCAGTGGTATAAAACCTCTGGAATTGTGCTCCAGCCAGTCTCCAAAACACCAAAAGGAGCAGAGGGAGCAGGGAGGTGTCACAGCAACGGGAACAGGAGAAATTCAACACGTGTGCACGCTCCAGGGGATGTCTGGAGATGTTCCCTATCCCAGTCTTATCTGATGGCTCCTGAATTCTTATCAGTACTTATTACTTTTTCAAAGTAAATCCCACAGATTAAAGGAATCTCAGCATATTTTTCCTCTGGGGAAACTTCTTGGAAGCATCAAGATGTTGCAGAAAATCTTAATTCCTTTTTGTAAATTTTTTTGCCCCTTATAGAAAAAAAAAAAAAATCCTTCACTGTGAACTTGGAATGTTTACCTTGATTCATTACATTGCTAAAATATTAAAGCTGAATTAAATTTGGCTCAGCCTTATCCACAGTTGAGTTGTCACCTTACACACTGGAGGACAATATATCATGACCAAAATCTATATAATTCTGGAAATGTTCACCCAATTTCCTGCCATGGAACAAAACACAAAATTAAGCATAACAGAAAAAAACAGAGATACAAGGAAAGAATTAAAACTGGGAGAAAAAAAAAATCTGTAAGAAAATACATAACATTTTGCAGGTATTACTCACCAAGAACAGAGTTCTGAAGTTGCTCAGATCACCAAAGAATTCTTCTATGCTTATTGCTTTGGGATCAAAGGTGAAGTATTCTCCCAAATTTTCATACAATTTTGTCATGTTGTTGTGCATGTTGGACAGTTTTTCATATTGTTCTCGGGCACTCTCAGCAAAGCTGTGAGGTTTTGTTAAGGAAAATGCCTCAAATGCAGCACAAATAAAGGAATAAAAATTAAAAAAAAAACCCAGTAAATAAAGAAAACAGTACACAAGGAAAGAGCTCTCAGTACAAAGGTTACAGCTGCCAAATGTGCAGGTGCTTCCAAAGATAACATTTTTATAAATTAATATTAATATTATTAACATTACCATTTTATGAATGAATATTATTAATGTCTGCAAGTTCATGGCAACACTTCCACTAAATGATCCCTCTCCAATGGTGAAGATTTGCCACTGACAGACAATACAACTTGCTCTATAACATTTTTTAATACTGTAGGCATTTTTATTTGAAGAAATGAACAATTTTATAAAAAGAATTCTATGAAAACACACAGTGAAATTCAGTTTGCTGTGAGAATCTGTGGTCCCAGTGCTCCAGTGAAGCCATGTCCCCCACCTCACACCCATAATTTATAAGGAAAATGTGCAAAATACCAATGACAAAGTCATGCAGTATCACATCTCATTTTCTTTGCCTTTTATTACTAAATTCTTCTCTGTGGGTTCTTTCCTGCCCAGCCACACAGTTCATGCCTCAGGCTTCCTCTATCAGGTTCACTTTTTGAGGCACAATCTCAACTCTGTAATTTCACCCAACTTACAAAAATGAAATATCCCCCCACCCATCCCAGCAAACTGACAAACAGCTTTGAGAAATTATTACTGAAAAAAACCACAATGGAACAACAGAAGTCTTGGTTTTGTTTTTTTTCCTTAGGAAGTGTGGAAGCCTAGAAATGAGACTGAGATTGACTTTCATCCCAGCAGCCGTCATTAAAAGTTTGACATGATGCTTTTAAATAGAAAAATGTGATGCTTTCTTTTCCCTATGTGAAAAAAACTATATAAATATATATATATAATATCTCTGGAAAAATATATAAATTATTATTATATATATATAAACTATATTTTTTTATATATATATACACAATTATTTTGGAAATAGAGGAAGGGTGCAAGCTACTAAAGCAAATATTGGATTGCCTCAAAGCAAGTGCATTTTAGTCTGCACTTTTCTTCTGTGGGGCTGTTTGGAGCCACAGAGTCACAAATCACTGGGCAAACCAAGTCTGCTCCAGGATTAGAGCAGCTCTGCTGCTGGTGGATTGGGGCTGATGGAAGAACAAAGGACAGGAGAGATTCCCTGAGCTACAGATCCCTGCAGCTTCTCCCTCTGGCAGCTCCTTCCATGAGGATTCTGGAGGTGAGCAGGGCAGAGCTCAGCTCCAGCCTCTCCCCAGACCTTCCCCTCTCATTCCAGAGCCTGCTGGTGCCACATTTCTGATCACACCCCACTGCTGACATCCCAGCCCCTGCAGAGCAACACACAGGGGACAGACACAGAGAAATCCTAAAAAAAACCCATTTCTTTTTGAGATTCGACTGAACCCAGAAGGGATCCTGCAGAAAACAGTCAGCAAAGTGCAGAATAAAGCCTGGAAATTCAGGATGTTCTGCTCACAGCGTTTCTGTGGCTCTTGGGGCTGCTGAGCACCTAAAGCTGTCCCTGCACCAGCACAACAGAGCTGAAAATACCTTCCATTGGAAAGGGGCCAAATATCCCACCTGGATGTGCCCATTTTAACTAAGGGAGAGTACATAAACAAACAGTTAAAAATTGGTTCTTAAAAGTATGGTTGAAGACTTTATCAATACCAATTTTTCCAAGCAATCTTCTCAACCAAAGCCTCGGTGGCCTAAGAGCAAAGCTGGTAGCTCCTAAAGTTCATTTAGAACCAAAAACCCACTCAGTGATGGATATTAATTTATAAAATCAAGTTTTTGAAACAATATCTGCCCATATATATTGCCACAGCAATGGCAACACCTAATTCTCAGTTTATGGAAAACAAGTTTAAGCTGCTTGATTAGAATTTCAAGCTTGGACTGTTGAGCTGCTCATCTCAAGATAAACCTGGTGCAGTTCAGTCTTCAGTGACATTTAACTGCACAAAAGGAAATGAAAGTTTAATGGCAAGAATACATTAAATAGGTAATAATGGCACATTACTGAATTATTGAGCACAGTCTAAAAATTTTAGAAAAACATGAATTGCCTTAGAGTCAGCAGACTGCTGTCATGAGGAACTCACCAAAAAAGAAATACATATAAATGTACAAATTAATTCAGTGCATCCTTTAAAACCAATCTTACATAATGTGATACAAACCCAAAAATGACCAAAAAGTCTGAAAAAAAGAAAAATACTTGCACAATTCCAGATTTGCAGCCTATTCTTGGCGACAGAGCTCCCAACTCTCCACTGACGTTGCACTCACATAACAAATAACAACAGTAAGCACTAAAAAACCCCAGCAGTGCTGCTGAAAGGAGATATTTTAAAGCACCACTCTAGAAATAGACACTGTAATTTCAACATTATTATTTTTTATCTATTAAGTACCAAACTGCAAGTAAGAAATATCTTTAACAGATGGCCTGCAAGACAAAGGGATGTCAGCAAGACAGATGAACAGGGAGAGCCAAGAGAGAATTGAGGATTTCAGCTGTGCTTCATTTTGAAGAAGACAAGGCAGAGCTGTAAAGACAATAGTTCCCAGTCATAGAGCATGCAATATTAACAGAGTTACTGTCACACTCTGTGTGCTTCATCCAACCTCCCTACTTCTAACATATTAGTGGTTTCAAACATCCCCTTGAAATGCAGCGATTCAGGCAAGGGAGGAATTCCAGGGAAGCACAGCCAGATGTGCCAGCACTATTTCATGAAAAAAAAAACAAAAACAGTGAGGAATGTGAGGTGTGTCAGCTTTGTGTAACAGCAACCCTTAATTCCAAGTTTTCCTGAAGAGAGATTGAAGCTTTACCAAGTGTTCATTTAAAAACTCTAAACTTGGTTTCGTTCTCACCACTCCAAACCAAACCAAAAATCACAGATTTTTTTTTTTTCTAGCAAGTTTAAAGGTGCTTGTTCAAGTAGCAGAAAGTACTTTATTGGTTTTCCCACGTTTTCCTGCATGCCATTGCAGAGTAGGATTCTGGCTTGAGGAACCACCAGGCTAAATATCTGTTTTAAATTGGTAGAAGAGAAAGTTTGAGCCAATGGTGCCATCTTTAATGAAGGATGCACAAGAGCTCTTAGTTTTAATCTCCCAGCTCATTCATAATAGAGCATTCTTTGAATTGAGCTGTGGCAATGCAAACAGAACTTATTAACTGAAGACAGAAATTCAGCTTTAATAGCACTAAGTCATTTCCACTGATAGCTCTATTTTCACCTGCTATCAGGATGTAAACACATGCTAACAATTTCATCACTCACTCCATCCATAATGCATCTCTGTGACTGCACAGCAGCCAAGACTTCTGGAGCATACACAGATAATTACGAATCACAATTATATCCCTAATCTTTTCCTCCTGTTGGAAGCCTTTGCAAAAACAAAACAAAACAAAAAAAAAAACAACCCTGCAGAAATCTTCACTGCAATACACTTCACCCTACCCAAATCAGAGGCCAAAGAAGCCAAGAGCCATAGCAGGAGCCCAAGTTTATCTGTGTACACAGAATCATGTGCTTCTGAAAAGCTGAAAGATTCCCCAATAAAATACCACAAAAAGCTCAGTGTGAGAATTTCTTTCTCATTACAAAGCAAATTACCTCAACATTCAGCATTTGACAGAGGAGCTCAGGAAAAAACCCAAAGAAAGCAAACCACAGTGGAGCAGGGGATTCTCAGCTGTGTGGGAGCAAGGAGGGCTCTGCCTCCCCCTTTGCTCCATTAGCACCTGAAATTCTCATTAACTATCAGAATTATGTAACACAATTGCATCCACTGGAAAAAGCCAGGATTTCAGTGGGTTTTGTGTTTGTGGGAATGAAGCACAGGAAGGTCACAACCCTCCAAGAACAACCCTGGCTGCACCTGCTCCTTCTCCCAAAATTTCAGAATAACCATTAATTCTTTTTAATTAAGATGAAGCTTTCAGACTTGTGCCTAAATGGCCATAACAATTTTATCTTGGTAAACATAAAATATCTGTCAGTGTTTACTTCCTCCCAGCTCTAAGCAATCAATTCAGTTCCTAACTTTGCATTCAAACTTCTCTATAATGAAAAGACACTTTCCATTGATTGACCACATTGCTATGCACAGGAGAAAGCTTTAGTCAACATCATTTCAATATTACTTTTTTATTTATATTCCGTTAACGAGGACACAAAGATCACTGCTCAATTCTCTAAAAGCCCCAGAGGAAGTCTCTGGGCAAAAACTGATAAACAAGGGCCTATTTATAAAATATTCAGTCCAAGGAGCAAAGCCCCACAGAACTTTGAACTTGAACTGTTTTATACTGGGGAAGTTGGCTCCAAGATTTAGGTGGCAAATTAGAATTTTCCTCTGGTAGCAAAAAGAAAACTTTAAAAATAAATAAGAGCACTTGGCTCTCCAAAAAGAACACAAAAGGCAAAATTTCTAAAGCCACAGGCTGGAGAGAAGGCAAGATCTTATCCATTTAAAAAAAAAACCAAAAAACAAAAAACAAAAAAAACCAACCAAACAAAAACAAACAAAAAAACCAAAAAAAAAAAAAACCCCAAAAAAAAAAAAAAAAAAAAAAAAACAACCCACACTTAAAAATTAGAGCTAGGCATTAACCTAAATTAACCTGAACCACTTGTGGGTTTTTTATTCAAAGAAAAAGAAAGCTGCTGGACTCAGAATTTTTTTTCCCAGCATTGTAAAAGAGAAACCTTCCTGAATTCCACAGTCCCATTTTAAAGAGAGAGTTTTTAAAAACTGAAACAAACCAAAGCTTTCCTCCTGGCAAAAGCAACACTTTATCTCCACTGATGCCATCACCAGAACTGTGAAACTGCCTTCATACTGCCCGACACCAAAAACCATCCAGATCTTCATTCTCAGCTGTGATATTCTGCTTTTTAAATAATTTCAAACAGGATGAAGAGTGGTGTTTGTAGCTT